GGGGGGGAGACACAGGTCAAATATACACACATAGACCTAACTTTTTAAAATCCACGCAAACTGCTTTCCCTGATTTTTCCAAAATGCTTTATTTCGTCCACACAGAGTTCTAGGCCTAGGCTAAACAATTTCGCAGTCTTACTTTAAAAAAACAGGAAATCTTTTCTCGACACATCTCTACATATTATATTTGTGAAAGTTCATCACTTCGGCCACTTAAAACTTCCGAACCACTTAACTTTCGAATTTGACCAAATTAATGGTGGTTCAGAATCAATTAAAGGGTGCACAGTTTTATTGAGGAGTCTGAAGTCACTGTAGTTTAATTTTCAGTTTTTCGTTAGTTTCGTTTAGATCTAAACTTGGGAAAGTCTGTCTTCTAAGACACCATTGTAAACAAGTGAGATTTCTGTTCACTAGCCGTGCGCACTGATTTACACCTTTGATATTCTGGAGTGTACAGCCACGAAAGCGGAACAGAGAATCAATGTTTACATCTATTATATATTTGGCAACTTGGAAACACGGGTGTCACTTTTCCCATAAAACTACGACAGCTACAGAGTTGAAAGTTGGCAAGTACCTGCAAAAAGATAGATAGGTCCCCAAGACGCAACCTGATTTTTTATTTATTCATTTCCTGAATTAGAAAAATAAATTTGACAAAAAGTTCCTGTCTTTCTTTGGCCTTTGTGATTACTCAATTGAGAAACCAAACAAATCGGTGTAGCTGTCCTCCACAGCGGAAGTGCCGGACGTGATATTTCGCGAGGCGCATTTTGTTTTGAGAGTATAGATCTAAGCCTTCTAATTTTTTTGCATCTCTCAAGATTTATTGCTCCATTCCAGTATAAAGTATAAATATAGTAGGCAAATGACTTTCCGTTGATGTTAAAGCACCGATCATTCATTCCTTTCTTTGAAAGGGGGCCCAGCTAGTATATATATATATATATATACACACACACATATATACAGACACAGACACACACAAACACATACAGACACACACACAGGCACACACACACGCAGACACACACACCCACACACACACGTACCTGTATAGCAAACTGTGGCTGACTAGAGCTGGCCTTGACCAGAGAGATAGTGGTACTGTTGAGACACAGTCGGTACTGACCCTTGCTCTTCATCGACTGACCCAGACCTTTGGGCTGCAAGGTCACCTGCCACACGTGCTCTGTGGGGGTGGGGGTGGGGGTGGGGGACACATTCAGTGAGTGTCAGTACAGGTTTTACGGTGCTCGCAACTGCATAAGGTCATATGAGTGCCAAGGGGTGGATGTCAACAGAGAAGTCCTTACAGGGAATCAGACTTACTCTGCTCACCTCTCAAGCTTCAACAGCACAAGGTCTGCTTCCACTATCAAGGCACCCCGGAAATGGCGGGTCACAAGAGAGTGACAAACATACAAAAGAAGTAGAGGAAAATGACAATAGGATGAGGAAATAAAAAGCAGCAGTTCCCCCTATGTTGTTCTGGCACAGTATGAGCATGACATTGATAAATCAGCCCATTGACAATTCTACTGTGCATAAGAACATGTTAATGTCCCCCCTTTTGGAATGGCCTAAAGACAACTTCAATCAGATACCAAAAAAAAAGAACTAAACAAACAAGCAAATATACAGAAAGAAATAGGAGACATGAATATTATATATATACATATTATATATACAAAAAAGCACACA